TACGCTCTACATGATTGCATGTGGATGGTGCTTGAGGATGGACCCTTGAAAATCCAAATGGAGAATCCTGAGAGGAATCCAGCAACTCCAGACGTAGTCCAGTACATTCCAAAGCCCAAGGAAAAATGGGATGATAGAGATTGCAAAAAGCACAATCTGGATAACGTCGCCAAAGCAGCCATCTTCAAGACACTTGACCCCATCACCTTCTCCAAAATTAAGCACCTCAAGACTGCCATGGAGATATGGCAAGGTCTTGGGAAGCTATGTGAGGGTTCAGAGGACTTGAGAACGCAGAAGATAGAAGTCCTGCTTGAGAAGTTCAAAGGCTTCAAAATGCTTCTCGGAGAATCATTTGATATGCTGGATGAAAGATTCCACAAAATCTTGAATGATCTTGCATCACTTAACCACGTTCTTTCTCCCAAAGAAAAGAATGTAAGGTTGCTGAGATCTCTTCCAACTGAGTGGTACACCAAGGCCACAGCCATGGAAGAAGGAAGAAATCTGGAGAACTACACTGTTCAAGGTCTTCTTGATGAGCTCAGAACCTATGAGCACGAGCTGAAGAAGAAGAAGGAAGAACAAGTCATTCCCTTCCCCACGGCACTGATGACAGCTCCAAGAGTCCCACTAAGTGAAGGGACATGCACAAGCAACTGTGACACACCTTCCTCCAGCCAGCCGTCAAGCTCAAAGATGGAGAACTACGATGAGGAGTTTGCCATGATGGTCAAACAATTCCGAAAGTTCAAGAAGTTCTTCAAGAAAGCTGACTCAGTCAGAAGGCCATCCAAGGGAAAGCCACAGGTAAGTGACTCTCCTCCTGAATCTTATTTGTGTTACAACTGCAGGAAGCCTGGCCACTGGAAGTCAGCGTGCCCGTACCCAAAAGTGGTGAAGTACGGAGAAAGAGAAAGGACCGAGAAGAAAAAGAAGGCAATGGTTGCTGCTGAAAGTGACGAGTCATCCAGCTCAAGCTCGGATGAAGAAGCTCTCGTCTGCATGGAGCGCAGAGCTGAAAAGTCCAACCATGAGGATAGGTGGACCATGTCAGAAGATGACACTCTCCTGCTCATCTTCTTATGAAAGCATACCAACTTCTGAAAATCTTTTTGACCAGTTCAAGAAGATGATGAAAGACTTTGAGGAAATAAATCTCAAACATTCTTCCTTAACAGAAGAGAACAAACTATTGAGTGAAGAGAATCTCAAGTTGACTGAAGGTCGGAAAAGTCAACTGAATGAGATCACTCAACTCAAGACTGAAAATGAATCTCTCTCTGAAAAGGTGAAATCCCTTAACAAAGAACTAGGGACTCTTAAGTCCAAAGAAGCAGTGGATAAGCTTCTTGAAACGACCAAACATAAGGGTCGTGAAGGACTTGGGTTTGACTCCTCTAGCTCTAAAAGAAAAACAACTTTCATCCCTCCTAAACCTACTGCTAAACCAAATAAGCAGAAAGGGAAGGAAAAGGAAAAACCAACAGAAGTTTCCAAAAAGGTAGTTCCTCTTAAAAACTATAGGAAGCTGGACAAACCTCAAAAAAGGAAATAATTTCAGAAGAAAACCTTCTAACCCCCATTATACACAAGGCTATACTCATTATGGGGTAGACAGGAGTTTTCCAAGAAATTCTGAGTGGAGAACTATGGCAAGATATAGTCACCCTCCACCCGAAAAGCTATTTGTGCCACCTAAGTATGCTTATAACCGACACAGGACACACTATGCACTACCTAGACAAAATCATAGGTCTTATCAACCTAGGTTTGCTAGGAGGAAACGGGAAATGACACCTCCTGCACGTAGGAAGTTTTATGCCTACAACTATGATTACAATCCCAACAAGTTTAGAGCTGCAAGGAAGATTCCCTGCAACTTCAAACTTGATGTAGGGACACACACCATTAACTACTCCGGACCCAAACTTAATTGGGTACCAAAATCCTCCTCCTCCTAATGCAGGAAGCCACTAAGTACCCAGGTGTCTGGTACTTAGACAGTGGCTGTTCAAGACACATGACGGGTGATATGAGCCTTTTGAGCAATCTAATTCCCTATGATGGTCCAAGAGTTACTTTTGGAGGAAGCAATGATTTCGGCCTTACTAAAGGGCTAGGAAATCTGGTGTACAAGGGACTAACCATCCAAGCTGTATCTTATGTTGAAGGGCTCAATTACAACCTTCTTAGCATAAGTCAGTTTTGGGATAAAGGTTACTCCTTGGAATTCTACAAGGACATGGCATCTCTCAAGAACATATCCACTAATGAAGTCATTCTCACTGGAAAGAGAATCAGAAACATCTATGAAGTAATATGGAGTGATGTCAAGGAAGC